TGCACCCTACATAAAGACCTTAAGTCTTTAGGGCTGGCCTCATTACCAGTCTCTAAACCTCTAAAACCCTAGAAATCGACCATTAGCCTCCTTTGTGGTGTTTTTAAGTCCTTAAGAAGAATTTGGTGGTTGTTTTGATCTTGGTGAAAGAAGTAAAGAATATTGAAGGTGCTTTGCTTGGAGAGAAGGTTATAGATCGATAATCATCACCATTGTTGCAAGCTTATTGAGGCATCAAGTTTAAACCTTGTCTTATTTATGCTTAGATCTCTTTGTATCTTAGTTTTATGCTTTTGGTCCTTTTAGGGTTGGTTTGAGGAGGTGGAACATTTTAAGGACTTATTCTTTTCGATCTGAGCTTGTTATGGACTCTTTAGGTATAAAGGTGCAAGATTTATGGGATTTTTGGTCACATGAATGTATTAAGTCACCTATTAAGCCCTTTTTAAGCTTAAGAGCTTCATTTAGCCATGCATTAATGTAAATTTAGCAACTTTACAGGATATTCCAGCTCAAGGAATTCAGATCTACATTTTGGAGCAATGTCTTAATGGATTAAGGGTTAAAAGTGAGTTTTGGATGAATGGGTGAGTACGTTGGGCGTACAAGTCTGTACGCGCCGCGTATAACCATTTAGCGTGTACGCTTAGCGTACAGCTGAGTATGCCCCGCGTACTCATTCAGTTGGGCTTTACAATTTTTGGATCTTCGGATTAGGTCATTCCTTTGGGCTTTGATGCTTGGGGTCTTGTTGGGCCATCTCAATGCGAGTGTTTGGACTAGGAAATTTTTGTGGGCCTTGGAGTAAGGCCCAGGTAAGGGTTTGGGCCCAATTTGGAAATTGAGTTGTGTTTGGGCCTTGGATGGTTAGTTGGTTTTTGGGCCTTTTAGATTGTGAGTTTGGACCTTAGTCTTGGATCAAACTAGGTAAAGGGTAAAATGATCTTTTTACCCTGAGTATGGATTGGTAGTTATAGACTAGAATCTAGTTGTTAATTGGGTGTTATTTGATATTGATAGCTCGGTGATTTGTCGTACAAGTGGCCATGGAAAATCAGTTATGCATACCGTCGACGTTCGGACCTCAAGTTTCAGGTGGCGAACTGTGTGCTTTTGAATGTGTCACCTTGGAAACGTGTCATCCAGTTTCGGAAGCGAGGCAAACTATGCCCCCGTTTATTGGTCCTTTGAAAATTACCACCCGGGTGGGCAAGGTTGCATACTGGTTAGATTTACCTGATGAGCTCAGTCAGACCCACAACACTTTCCATGTCTCTCAGTTGCGGAAGTGTGTAGCTGATGATTTTGTGGTGATTCCCTTGGATG